ATGCCACAATTGCAGCTATCAACATGTACTCCAAGCTCACTCGTGTATAGTCGAATTCTATATTTTCCTGTAGCGAAATCTGGCAGCAATGCTACGATCTTCTCAGGGAGAGGTTGAACTTTTACTCCATAGCTTGAGCTCATTGGATCGTAGATGAAAACTTCTTTAAGCGACAAATCCTTCATAACCGCACACCTGTGATTCTTGCTGCAGATGCCAGAATCATAATCTTTTGAATTGTCATAGCAACAAACACACTCCTTTGCCAAAACAAAAAACATGACGTTACCCGCGATTGACGTACCTACGCCAATTATGTCTTCTCTCGCTGCGAGCAACTTCAACATCAGCTTGTTGACCGTGCTGTCGCCTAACGCAGACTTACCGACGAATTTGAGTGCTTCAGTCTATGTGCAATTACACAGCAGTAGATATTAATATTTCCATTGCGGGACCTGACTGTATGCAGCTGCGTCCCTGCACCGATAGTAGAGGAATTGATTTGATCTTGGATTGTATATTACGATCGAGATCAACACAAAACCATTGGGGCATTTGGAGCTCGAAATTGATGGTATCAATCCAAATGATAGTTTTTTTCACATATTGGATGCTTTTCATCCCTTTGTGCAACTTCTTCATGATACCCAGCGTCTCGGTAGAGTAGGTACCTACTCCAATAATTTCCACGGCAATGTTGTTCTCACCTAGATTTTGATCACTTGATTCCTTGTGTCTCTTCTGAAGAGCTAGCACTTGGGCACTGCATCTATCAAGGACATCCTTTCAGAAAATACGGGAGACGGACTCAGCAGAGATGATCGTTGTTTTAGCGGAACGTCTTGCTACCTTGTGGGCAACAGGAGCTCGGGGATTTTTTGTGAAGTCGAACAGCTTAAATTTGGACACAATTGCGGCGGATGTCTCGTATGGTGACTCACTGCATACGGTATCTTGAATGGTTGCTAAACTCAGATTATCCGAGTACAAATTTGAATCATCTTGCACCTCAAAACATTTTGCATCGAGCTGCTTTCTTGGATTTTGAACTTTGCTTGGGCGACCTCAGGACCTTGGAGGGCTCGCCACATCAAATGTATCATTTTCGTCCCGTTGCAGAGTCGCATGAGAAGCTGGAGGCTGAGCACCAGTCTGATAAACAGGCTCGGCCGCACCGAGCCAGACTCACCAGACTGGACTCCTGACTCACCAGACTCGATGCCAGACTCACCATACTGGAGTGTAATATGTGTAGAAGGCTGTAATGGTTCAGGGGCTTCTACTGCTACCTCGCCCACGGTATCTGAGCGAGAGACATCGTCACGTCTACCTTCATTGATTATCGGCATTTCAATCGATAAAAAAACCGCCAGCCTTGAAACGGTGAGCGATGGCCTTTAAATAGGCATTTGCTTCACGATTTTGTATCGTGCCTAAACCAGCCATCGAATCGCAAATTTCACTAGCAAAAGGCAAGGCCTCTCGGTACTTCCGGTTCGAATCCCATGGCCGATCATCGGTCACCAATACCCTACGAATAGCAGCCAATTTTCACAGAAGTAGAAGTATCACTAGCGTTTTCGAGCTCTATCGACAACCGAGCTGGCGCCAGAGCCCATCGCTGATGCAGCGGTTGAGTCGGGATAATAGTCTCCTTCTTCAGAGCCCTTCTAAGAATCAAGACTTGTCGACACGGCAGTAAACGTGTACTCATAAAGAGACACAAGCAAGTCCAGTTGCGTGTCGTAACTGTGTACTCTGCGTCTACCTCATCGAGAGCGTCTTCATCGGGGGATGTACGTTTCACAAAGTACACACCTGGCGCTCTCTTGAAAACCAAAAACGTAGGATGCACGTTCAAGCGCGTAGTAATACTGATAATGTATCATCTTGTATGAAGGTTCACTGACGACGTTTGCAACCAACGTGGATCGTAACCAACATGTTGAGCACTAACCTTCTTGTACACCTCCTCCATAAAGATTCACTCATGAAGACTCTGGTAGTACATAATCGGCGCGATGCGTTCGTCCACTTTCATAGTAGAGCTTACCCACTCCTTCAACTGCTTCCACGAGGCCTCCAACCTGTTGTTGGTGTTATTTTCAAGCGTCATAGTGTTTTGGCGCTTGAGTGCACACCACAACACGCGTCATTTGTCCCAATTCTTAATGAAATAGGCAACGAACAGGTGACTGACGGGACTACACGGTTCCACTAATGTGTTCGTCGTTTCACAGCGTCCAGGCTCGGTTGTGGCATGAAGGTGCCCTTCTGTCGCCACATTCTGCCCGACCGCCACAATATTTTGCCCGACTGCTACAATATTCTGCCAGACTGGCACACATTCTGACCGACTGGTGCCAGATTTTGCCCAACTCGTTCGGAAGTTAATTGGGGGCGCACCATTCCGCACACGTGCAACATGTACCGAAAATGCTTCGTATACGCTTTCTCGGTCTTCGCATATACAAGCAGGTTCATCAGACCTCGTAGCTGGTCATTTTTCCACGTGTTAAAACCGTAGTCTGCTGACGTGATTTCCTCCCTCAAATACGTTAAGGCGTGAAATTTGTAGAGCAAGCTAGTGACGTCAGGGAAAGCAGTCTTAAGTACCGATAGTTCCGTGAGGTCCTTGTCGATCAACACGCAGCGTAGCTTTGTTCTAGCCGGAGTGTTGCTCTTAAATTCTTCGAGTGCCGTCAATAATGTCGGCCATCGTTCGTTCTGCTGTAACGCGTGCTGCACAAATTGGTCTTTTATACCCGTATCGTGTGCCATAAAAGAGAAAACTTTGTATTTTGAATGGTTTGTTCCGTGCGTCGCGACGATGAGAAGAACTCCCCAAAAATGTTTGTAGACCGATTGCATGTGTTTAGTCTGTAGAGATATGCATGTTGCAATTTTCTAAGACAAAGAGCATGTTAGATGTTATGAAGATAATATGTTTGAAGCACTAAATACACATACCTTTTCTCCGACATCGTCTACAAATATACGACCCACGGTCCCGACAATATTTCCAAACTCGGTCATCCACTTTTGGAATCGTTTTGCGCTCGAACTTGGGCCGTTTCTGTTTTCACGAGCTTTCTACTTGCTCACGAGGTTACGAACATCTTGTGGCTTTGGATTACTATCTAAATTGTCCCTGAAAAACTTGAGAATGCTGGTCTTCTTTGCTCCAGCCTTTCGAAGCTCATTCACCGTCCGTAAGGCACTGTCATCGAAAGTAATATGGCTGAAAAAAAATGACTCTTGAATGCAAACTCGTTAAGTGAGTGATTGTGCTCGAGCCGGTACTTCGTCACTTTGAGCGCAAACCTGTGTTCAGCTTTGTTAATCTCTTGAACGCATATATTCAGCTGAACTAATAGTTAACCCTTAATGCAAACAAACACGGTTAGTAAACATACACGGTTAGTGGCTGAGTTAACACCTGTGATGCCCGAATCATCCCACTTGAGCCCGACTAAGCCAGAGTGAGTTTGTGTCACTGCAAAACGATTCAAGCTGTCACTGAAGTAACCGCGTAACTGTGCTGGGCACCCTTGAAACCGAGTCTTCTGACGCGACCGCTTGCTTGTGGCTTGCGATCGGTATTTGCCATGGTGTGTACACACGTACGTCTTCGCATACTGATCCCACTTGGCCAAAATTTTAGTCGCCGCGGAGCCCTGGGCATCTATCCTAGCATTCCGTACAGTCACTGAAGTGTTTGTTCTCACTTGAAATATCTAGCAAAACAAACAAAACGTGATGAGAAGAAATCGAAAAACACAACAGATAACTTGATAGTTTACCTGTACTGACTGCGCTTGGTAAAGCGCTAGGTAGGCCTCGAAGTCCTGCCACGAATGAAATTTTGTCTTTTGTGGTGGCAAAGCGAGGACATATATCTGACGTGTTTCTTCACTTGCGCTTCTTGTGACCGTCTCCGCTTCAGCAGGAGTCGGTCTTGGCAGTGGCTGCCAGTCACTCACGGAGCTGCCGGAGTCGTTGCCGTCGCTGTTGCTTTCGATGTCCTCCAGTGCCAGGGGGGCTTTTGTGCGCTGCGTGGCCGTGATGTCATTTTTGTGCCTTTGGAGCCACACGTTTGCTGGAGGCGGAGATTTTTTTGTGATTCAGGAAACGGTGGCAACTGGTATACGGCACGTATATAATATAACTAGTACGGATGACAGAGAATCGGAAGATAGAGAGCGATTTGCTGTGTAGAGTGTTCCGAGGAAGTAGGAGAAACACACGTCCATCGCTGGGATAACACACACGGGGCTGGGCGACGTGGGTGCCATAGCCGCGGCGCCAACTAAGTTGAGCGGGTGCGTGGCGCGTAGCCGCAGCAAACCCGCGCGGAGAGCCCGCGAAGCAGGGCCGCGCGGTATTTGCGGAGGCGGGCCCAGCGCAGCGAGCCGAGCACTACACTTTCCAGAACATTCTATCTCCATATTGCGAGCGCGGGGCGCCGAAGGGGAAGCGAAGCGCGGCTGGTCCCTTTTCTGCTGTGACCTCTAATCGTCGATTATGTCTTATTGCGACACTCAGAAGGTCAAAAGTATACAGAAGTCAAGTCAAATGATTTGCTGTGTGCTGAAACAGTAAAGACATGTGTTTGGCATGTTCTGTCCATCTGGCAAAATAGTCGCTCTCGCTTACACCATCGGGAGATCGGAGCAAGATTAACGCAGTAACATTTCCTAATGCGACCATACAGCGCGGCTGCGGTAGCGACTCCGCCCATTCGATGATGCGCTGCATAACCTACCGGTATGTGCAACTTATGATTTTGTGTTGGGGCCACTTCCGCTATTTTTTTCCTTCCAATAGTAATTATCTTTATAGTTTATGGTACCGAGTGCGACGAAGTACTCGATGGATCGAGCCCTCCTGCACCGCCGTGTTATTAAAATGCGGTTGATTCATCAAGTCCATCGGCTTTGGCAGTGGAAAGCTGATGCTGCAAAAAAAAACTATCTGGGTCATTTGCCGTTGTCGCCCCAGCGATCCAACCCATCGGCACGGTGGTTTACCGATGATTCTTCAGCAGGTGGCGCTTCCGTGCACCGAACGACTTGGCATCCCGTTTCAGCTCGCAAGTCGGCAGCGCAAGGTCGCTATCCCTCTTCTTCAACGTGCTGTTGGGTTCAGGTGAATGCGGCATTGCCGGTCGCGGCTTCGAATACGTCATCGAAGTTGCCGTTGGCACCATAGGCATTGTCTGTAGCGCGTTGGCGAAAGTGCGAACCTTATCACCGCTCTTGTCCACAACTTCCCAGTCGTCCTGGATCACAACCCACGCATCCGTGCCGCTGCTGGCCGCAGAGACCTCGCTCCAGTCCTCTTCATCCTCAAGCTCCGACATAACGTCGTCGTCCGAGTGGAGGTCTACAAACAGCAGCTCTGTCGGCTCCTGATTACGCGAGGAGGCGGTGGCAGCCACCGTCTCGCGGGTGAGGTCTCCTAGCATGGCAGCCGCTACATCCTCGCGGTAGTTGGCAGCTACCAGCACGTCGCGCCGCAAGTCTATCGCTACAGAAGGAAAGAACTCGCCCAATACGCGCAGCTTCTGCTTGTTGGCCACAGTGTCGATGGCGCTCACCTGGCGCGTCCCTGTCAGCGCCTCCATAATTTCAGCTTCGTCCAGGAGCCAGATCTTCGCTGCTCTGAGGTTATTGCCCTTGCGCGCGCAACGCCTCGTCATCGTTGTTAAATTGAGTACCGTAGTTTGCCTGTGGTCGTGCCTTTCACCACTGTGGTGACCACAGGGTCAAATTGAGAATGACGCCTGTGTACCAAAGTTCTTGCGGTTGTGGCAGCGAAAAGTCGCTGAGCGTCAGCGCACCGATCGGAAAAGGGGGGAAATGTGCAATGACAGTAAGCTGGGCGAGTCTTCGCCAGCTGATACGTGAAGCTTGTGGTATTTGATTTCGAGAGGTTGTTTGGAGGTGCTTTTAGAACATCGAATTTGAATTCGCGTTTTTAAAGTGCATTGCATGTGCGCTCATGCCGCTATCGTACACCCGTGCGCCGCAGCTCCGACGGCGCCGGTACCTTCGCTCACCACATCGTCAGAGCGCTTTGGTGAGTGGGGTTCAGTCACTCGGGCCAAACGTCACGCGTCACATCTTCAACGACCATGACTTGCTTAAACAATGTCGCTCCAATGTGTCCCCAGTTCGTGCGACATTCGACTAGTGGTCAACAAGCTGGACCCACGTGTCTTGGCTGAACACGCTGCAACAGCTCATGGCTTTTCTTTTCTCGATTCGCCGTCTCCATCTTTTGCTGTAATGGTAAATATGACTATTTTCTAAAATTCATAAACATTAGTACTACAAAGTTAGTGATATTTCACTTTTATTTTTAAAACGAACACAAAAAATGAACTGTCCCTCTATTACAGTACATGTATAGTCTCGAAATCGTCTGCGTGTCACACTGGGCGGAGCCAAGAACTCGCGATCTCGGTGCGTATCTGTTATTGTGGTTTTCATCAATTTGGCCGCCCGATTTGCTGTGTGGACCGGTTTAAGTTCGGGCAGGGTGTAGGGTACATGTAATTAGGCTCGAACTAGCTGTATGTGACCCGACTTAAGGTCGTAATGATGAGATAAACACTAAACGTATGCATACTGTAGCGCGATTGCCGAGTAAAATGGTGCTATGATCACCTATAACACGCTTAATTATTGATTGGAAGTGTCCTAGCAAATGATTTTGTGCAGATCACTTATGCCGTCCAAAGACGGCAATTCTGACACTTCCTCTTTAATTCGAAGTGCCCATCGACATATCCGGCCCGAGATAAAATCTTAACTTACCCTTACTTTCTATTTCGGAGGCGTCCAGCAAACCGGATCCGATATAGTGGATCTCGGATGCCAAAATGGATGAAAACCACAAATATATGTAGTCTGATCTGTTATAATTTATTTGGAGTATAAAAATACCGCACAGGGCAATCATATAGCACTAAGAGCGTGAGATCCAAAGCGGTACCCCACTAGCCCGTCAGTTGCACGAGTTTGAGCGCTACTAGCTCGTCGTTTGTATAATCAGCACGAGTTTGAACGCTAGGACAAGGATATCTTGCTGTGTGGTGTTTGAAGATGCGGTTTCTGAGACGAAGAAACAGACAGCGATATTCAGATTTGGGGGGGGAGCTTGATCCACTTGTGGTGTGCCTTTGCAGACTGCAGAAACGGCTCGAGAAAGCTACTTCATGTGACTCTGTCGCAGCATTTTAACGCACAAGAACAGAGGATATTATAGACCTGAAAGCTCTCGAGTTCTTTTACTGTGTTGGTGTGGATCTTGCGGTACTACTTGTGTAGTTGATTAAGCTTACATTGCTCGAGAGTACGTGCACTCAGACGTCCATGTACTAGTACGTCGAAGCTCATCGTTTTATACTGCATTAAACGATATTTAACCTCCACGCTTGGATGGTCAAGATACTCCAACTCCTCAACTAACGTCAATGTACATGCCTGTTCGATTTAAGTATATCAATGGTAATCTGCACCACTCGTTACAGGACAGTTTTTTTTCTTCGAAGCTTTTGTATTTTTGTCAGTAATAGATCTTACTGCGTCTATTTCGACACGTGCTGAATGATCACCACTGATTGTGCATCGGAGCCAGCGACGAGTGTGTCGGACTCTGCATGAATCGCCAGGGCGTTCCACGGCTGGGATCCCGAGACGATAGGCTGTACCTGAAGGCCGCCCTGCCCAATAGAGAAGCCGCTGGAAGAAGAAGGGCTTACAGAGCCAAACGGGGTAGAGTTCTGGTTACCTGTGGATTCACTGCAATGGTCATACTCGACAGGGTCGCGAGGGCTACGACCGTGGTGAAAGTCCCAGCAATTGACGACAGCATCATCGCCACCCGTGAAAAGATTGCGAGGAGATGCAGAGTGAAGCTTCAATGCTCGAACGGCACGATGATGGTACCCCTCAGTGCGGAAGGGCGCATCAAGCTTACGACGATCCCAGAAGCGGACGCTACCGTCATCTCCACCGGTGATCAGCATTTCAGGTCGGGTTGGATGCGTCTCTAATGTAGTTAAAATGCTTTTTGAGACGGTGCTGTGATGACCATTTCGAGTATAAATAGCAGTTAGTGTATACTTAAGTAAGACGCAAAAGAGCACTTTTCAAAACCAGTGATCGAACGTACTCGACGCAAGTCGCGATAGGAAATTTGTTGTTTGCCGCGAGATCCCAGACGCGAAGCTGGCTTCCAGGCAGCGAGCTATCACCACAATAGACACATTAGCTGACACGGATGCTCCTTCATACACAAAAGCTCAAACATACCCGACAGTGGCAACGACAGTGTCACGGCCCATAAACTTTACTGCGTTAATTGGCAGTCTGCTCGTATCCTTGATCTCTGCACAGGTTCAACATCCGCAAACAGCCTCACGTGTAAGTATCTGCGAAGTCTATCCTCCAACATCATTCCTACCAATCTTTTCGACGCTCACAGTGTCGTCGAGCTTGAGCCACGCAAGAGCTCCACCGGCGCTGGCAGTCACGATACTCGTCCGGTTCTCGCTGACCTCAAGGCATGTTGCTGCAGTACCAGCAAACACTTGCTCCCATTGTTGCACGGTGAATGCAGTCAGAGGCTTCGCTGAGTCTCCATCAGTCATGGCTGCTTCATCATCTCCAGCGCTGGAAGACACACGGAAGGCGAAGACGCCGCCCGCCGAGGACGCACTGATCAGCAGGTTCTCGCCCCTAGTCGCTACGAACTGTAACGCGTTCGCGTCTCCTGCGTGCTCCTCTTCAGCCAGCGTGTTCAGCTCGCAAGGGCGCACATCATCCTCTCCACGTCTAGCAAGAGCGAGATAATTCCGATCAGTCAGTTGCCTCCTCTTTGAACGTCACTTTTCTAGCTACTGACGCACCCAAACTCCTTGCGCAGCTCATGTTCATCGCGTGTTGGGCGCACAGGAAGATGCAGCGATACGTGATTGGTCTGTAGTATACCAAGACGAAGAAATTGAAGGAGTAAACAATGTTAACATAGATGTCTAGTAATGCCCGATTTGTTGCGGGCAACTACGACTCACCTCGTTGTCCCAGCCACCTGTCGCTACCAAAGGCAGTACCTCATACTCTTCTTGTAGCGTCTCGGATGCATAGAGGACGTCACTCACCACGCACAGAGCCCTGACCTTCTCAGTCACGAAGTGTCTGGACACGGATCTGCTCATGCTTTTGCTCGTTCCTTTGGTGTCTGCCGCGTTGGTGTGCACCACATATTTAGCTAGCTGTCCCAGCAAAAACCGGTACAGTACTGCTCATTCAATCCTCTTTGTGGTGATACCGATGAGAAGCCTTTTTATACCACCTCGTGTAGCCAAACCCTATTGACAAAAAAACTGTGAGCTATGATATTTTTAGTGCTGTTCGAACATTACGTTAAAGGTAACGGCTTACAACATCGCCATCCCAGCTCACCTCGCCTACCTCTGAGTCAGTGCACGCCAACGCTTCGAGGGTGTCCGCCAATTCATTGTCTACGTTTAAATCACTGCTTTTGAGTGGTTCCTTGACCCGTTCGTTGAAAAGGAGGCCGACCTTTTTTAACCTGCTTTTAATTGTCGCTTTGCTGAGGCGGTCCCAAGCCGAACGTACCCACGCGACGACTTGACAGCGGTCTGGCGCTCGCATCTTGTCCTCCACGCACGCTGTTGGCCTGGCGCATGGACGCCTCAAAACTAGCAGCCAATCTCCTCTCAAAATCCTTTAAGGGTTTATTTCAGATAACGTTACATACTTTTGAAGCTCATACACTTTACTTGCTTTTCAAATTCCAAGCAGTGTCATTTCGCTCTGGCTCACCACCATACTGAACTGAGCATTAGCAGCAGTATGCTGCTGCTGCTGCCAGCAGATGACAACGAGCATGACAATCATCGCATTATTGGGTGATGCCCAGCAAAGGGAGTGACAGCGAAGTAGACGCGAAGGAAAGGGTGTCGAGGCTTGACTTGGTGGTCAGGAAGAAAATACGAAAGTGATTAACGATGGGACTTACGAAAAAATCAAACTACTGGCTGCTTTTACACATGTAGGCCATGGCGTGCTCCCGCTCGCCTCCATGGCACCCCACCTTGTTCTCGTGATTGCAATTGGCTACACTGTACTGCTTCTACAGTGATGACGCAGTTCTTGGCTGCAGCTCGCCCACGTAACTTGGGTACACATGTACCGTAGTCTCCAGCTTCATGCTCGCTCACCACAAACTTCAACGTGCGTCTCTCCTAGGCCACACGCATTCCGATAGTCGCGTGTTCGTCGTCACCATCGGCTTGCTGAATGTCCAACACTCCCACTCGATGAACACCGAGACAATCACGGAAATACTCGAACTTGACTCTGCCTAACGGTTTGGTGAAGTGATCTGTCACCATCTCGTTAGTGGGGCAGTATTGCACACGAACTTCGTTGCTTGAGACCTTCTCGCGTACCCAATGGTACTTCGTGCTGATGTGACGGAATCGCTGAGTGACTGACTTGCTCTCAGCGAGGTGTTGCGCACCCTGGTTATCCTCCATGACCAGAATCGCTTCCGCAGCAAATCCCAAGTCGTCTAGCACCGAGTTGAGCCCAATACACTCCTGCACACCGCTGCTCATAGCAATGTATTCTGATTCAGTCGACGAAAGCGTTACCATGTACTATTTCTTGGATCCCCACTCAACCAGATTTCCGTTGTAGAAGATAGCGTATCCGGTCGATGAGCGTGACTCTCTTTCCGTGGAAAACGCTGCATCACAGTACACAACGAGACCTTGATCGCCCTGACTCTGAAACATCAAGCCAAAATCACGAGTTCCGTTCAGATAACGGAAGACACGGTCGACGTCCTTCTTAACTGCAATTGACGGACGATCAGCTGCTTGAGCAAGTAGACGTACAGCCGTAGTCACATCCGGTCTGCTAATGACAGCAAATAAAGCAGAGCTCCAATGGCAGGTCGTGGCCGAAATGAAATGAGCACTCTTCTAGGCTCTGGAGTAGCAGATCCCTGTAGCGCTCCTCCATGGGTGTCGGCGCCGCCTTTGCTTTGTTCATGCCAAAACGCTCGAGAATTGCTGAGATGTACTTGTGTTGACTAATGCAAACTTCATCTCCAGCAGACGACCACTGCAATTCGAGCCCTAGAAAGTAGTTGATGGCGTCAAAGCTGCTCACCTCGTACTCGTTCTCCATGGCAGACTGAAATTGCTCCAAACTTTCGTCTCTCATGGCGAAAGCCAGTATGTCGTCCACATACACAACAACAATCATCAAATCAGCATCGGAGCCCTTGACAAAAAGGTAGGGGTCAGCCTTGTCTTGACGAAACCCGAACTTAACAGAAACGAAGATAGGTTTCGTACCAGGCGCGAGACGCCTATTTTAGCCCATATAAAGCTCGGAGAAGGCGCCAGACGTAGCCATTAGGTCCCTCGTATCCTTCCGCAGGCGCGAGGTAAATCTTCTCGTCTAGTCCCGAATTTAAGAACGCTGTCTTGACGTCCAATTGCAGGCACTTCATGCGCTTTGATATCACAATCACGAGCACAATTCGCAGCGTGCTGTGACGCACCACCGGACTAAATGTCTCGGTATAGTCCTCCCCATAGCGCTGGCTGTAGCCCTTTGCTACTACACGAGCCTTGTACTTATCCAAAGAACCGTCAGCATTTGTCTTCCTCTTGAAGACCCATTTTGACCTGATGGCTTTGCGTCCTGGAGACAGTGGGACTTCCACAAACGTGCCATTTTCGACGAGACTTCGAATTTCTTGATCCATCGCATTCTCCCACTCGCTCCGATTGCCACTTTGGCCCACCTCATCGAGGTTAACTGGGTCCAACGAAAGTGCTGATTCTCCAACACCACTTGGAGCCATCTTGCCATAAATGAATGCATCTGCAACGCTTACACGCTCAATCTTGAAGTCAGTGCAGCGCTCCTCCACCATATTGCAGACCTCTTCCATGGAGAGGTGCGGCATTTTTAGTACAATCCAGGGGTCATTCTTACGACCGGTGTTGTTTGCTATTAGCATAAGGGTCATCCGCTCTTTGCTTTTGCCTTCACATTTGACCCACACAGTTTTGGCGCCGCGCTCGTCAATTGTGTGTTTAGGCACGTACTCATACAGCATTTTGATCTGCATCGAAAACAGTCTCGATGCACTCCTCAACAATTCGATGGAGTACCGTAGCTGCGAAATGTTGTGCAACATCTTCGGAGTCGGCTGGAGAGGCCTGTCCTTGACGGGTTCTTGTTCGGAGTGACAGGCTGTAACGTGATAGGTAAGATGCCATCCACGTTGAAGATGCTGCAAACGCGGTCGACGGAATGTAGTACATTGCAGCGATATCTAGAGCTTCCAGCTGCAACATGGTTGCCGAGACTGGAATCCCATTGCGACGCAGCGCTACGAGCCACTCAAAAATGCAAATCTCTGCGCCGTCAGGGAGAGTCTTCGCCGACCCCACCTCTCTGCGCCTCTTCATCTTGGCTGTCTTGGTGCTGGCAGCGAGAGCGTCGATACGAGAACGGTGCTGCTTTCCACCGCAAAATCACTCTCTTCTTGGTCATGTAAGCTTTACTGCGTTGCGCAATTCCTGGCCAAAAGGACGCGACAACTGACGACATGGTACCCGTGTCATAGAGAGTAAGGACGGCGGCCTTAAACTCGAAGGTTTCGGCAGTGTTCTTGTACTTGGTTGGTTTTCTGCTCTTTCCCTTCACAGAGACCCGCTTTTTTTTGGGGGGGGGGCTGTTAGGAACTGGGGTGTGGCTGAGGTTTTACTAGTGGCGACAGTTAACAAAATTGGCTAATGGGGTGGGGTGACAATTATCAAAGGACACCGAGATTACGGTACACTTTCTACTGTACTATTAATAGTAGTATTTGGGGTTCAGGTTGATTAATATCGCTGATTGGTCAATTACGTCGGGGTTAGGTGTGTTATCGAAGAATTTGAGAGCCACCTGGTAGCACAGTCATTAATACCACCTCCAGCTTCTATTCTTTTGGTTGTGGAGACATGTGCTACAGCAGTCGCGCTGGCCTGTGGTTTTCTCATGCACCGTGATGTAGGTCTGAATATATTTACACTTGAGGCATCTAATGATTTTGATACAATGGTGTATGGTCCTCATTAGAATGAGTGGTTCTGTAGGCACTTGCGCTGATCACAAAAATGTTTTCGTACTGTTTGTGATACGGTACGCACTCATTTCCCTGTTACGACTTACAAAACCTATAGTTTGAGAGAGGAGTGACTTGCATGTTATTTCATTTGGGCTCTAGTGGTGGCTATAGCGAGCGTGCTCAGGCAATGGGGGTATCAAAGGCTTGGTGTATTGTACAGCCTAATGCTCTGGATAGCCTATTAAACCTAGTAAACACTGGTTTTGTTCGGCTGTCAATGACGCTGTCCGAGTGGGATTCTATCGCAGAAGGCGTTTACAAGAAGCGTGGGTTTCCGTTCTGTGGAGGAGTAATTAGCAGAACTTTAATTGATATTATATGTCCAGAAGGGTTTGAAGGATGAAAAGTTAAATGATGACGTCTTTTTTGTTTATATTACAGATGACATTAACTCTAATATATATAGATTCTTCTTCTTTCAATATACAATTATGTCGTTCGACATTCGGTCGGGATCGTGGAGCGACAACAAGATTTTCATGCATTCAAAGTTAGGTCGTAAAATTGACCTTATGTTACCGCGAGGATAGGCGACTCAGGTCACGGCATCTTCCGACTCTCATGACCCCTTTTTCGGAGAAGGAAGAGAGAGGAGGCCTATCGCGGCTCCAGAAGTCATACAGCTACTCTCATTCGTTCACACGCATGATAATTGAAGGAGCCTTCGGCCTTCTTGAAGAGCGTTTAAGAATTTTGAAGAAAACCATGACAGGACATACTCCAAAGTCATCTGTCAGCGTAATCGTGGCATGTATCGTACTGCACGATAGTCTGATTGCACTAAATGATGAGACATCTTTAGACGTCACATTTGCTGAAGAGACGGAGCCAGTATCAAATGCATTGGAGTTAGTTCAGTTTGGGTCTCGACAACAGAAATAAATTGGCAAGCAAAATCGTAATGACATTGCTGCGTTGTTTAGAGTCTAACAATTGTTAATAACACCAAGCTCGTTCGACGAGGTACATACCGTAGTATCCAAATTATTAATCACTTTTGCTGTGTTGTAGCATTTCAATGAGCTGAGTAAGGAGCTGCGTTTGCATTTGCATCTGCATTAGCTGCGCTTCTTTGCGCTCCATCATGGCGTTAAAGCGTTGGCTAATTAGACCGACCACATCAATACCGGACGTAGAGACAGCAAGAGCCGGAGACGTGGCCTCCGTTATCGCCCTCGACTGCATACAAGACTCGAAACTATCAGCCGTTGTCTTGTATCGCTTAGTCGAATTTGACTGGCTTGTTGATGCCGTACCTACGGCTCTCTCTTCATCTTCCACAGGAATGTCTGGATCGTCACTGTGCAAACGAGAGTCTTGCTCGCTGTCTACCAGAGTTTAGCCGTTTATCCCAGTATTACTGCACAAAGTACATTCATGACAGCGTAAATATTAGCAGCATAAATTACGTTAAATAAAATCAATTTAAAAATACCATGCCCAGACTGCAGTATCACATTCAGCACGGGTGGCTCCACAATAGGTGTGTCTGGATAGTGGCGCAAATAGCTGCGCAG